ATGTGTGTGTGTGTGTGTGTGTGTGTGTGTGTGTGTGTCCCTGAGTCTCTGAAGTAAAGTATACGTGTGTGGGGGAGAGATGGCAGGACCGGGGATCCCCTCAGAGAGAGAACACGTCCACAGTCTACGAGGCCAGGGGCTCCTTGAGGGCATTTCTGTGTCTCTCCCCGCCTCTCCCACCACTTCAGACCAGAGGCAATGCCAAGTCGTGCCCTGGCCAAGCGCTCTGGATTTTGAGACACCGCCTGGGTTTGAATCCTGGCTCTGTCACTGTGCGATTCTGGGGAAATGCCTACCGTCTCTGACCTACTGCCTTATCAGTAAAACAGAGATGACGGCAAGCGGCTCAGACGCGGCCTCCTTCTGGGAGGCTCTGGCTTCACGCACCCTTGTGTCTTCTTCATGCATTTGTTTTCATCCCTGCCCCTCCCTCTGGACTGTGGGGACTCCCACCGCCAGGGACCGTGGTGGCTTCTCTTGTTGATGCCCCTGGTGTCTGCTCCCAGGCCGGGCACAAAGGGGGACGCCAGGTGTGTCTTCTGAAGGTAGAGCTGTGCTCACGCAGGCTTCTGAGCCCAGGCGGCGCGGCTGCCCTAATCACAGTTTGGAGTGACCGAGTTAATACTCAGTATGGCAATCAGCAGGGTGCCTGGTACACCCCGAGCAGGTGCTCAGTTAATGTCAGCCTTACTTGCGCTAATGGAGATGAAACAAGATGGCCCTATGTCTGTTCCTCTGTGGCACGATCTCAACATCCCATGCCGTGGCTCCCCCATCAGACTGAGAGGTGGGAAAGAGGCAAGGGTCTCTCCTCCATCTGATCTCCCATTTCTCAAAAGCATCCTGTCTCTGCTTTCCCTGCTGTAACTCACCCCTGCGCCTCCCCGGCCTCCTTAACTGGCCTCTTGGCTCAGCAGCAGCGCCCTCTTCCATCAGCCAGAGCCATCTTGCCCAGCCACTTCCTCTGGCGCCTCAGCTCCCACTGAGGTCCCTCTGGGCCCCTGCACCCCAGCTGGGGCAACGAACGGCACAGCGCCGCACACACACACACACACACACACACACACACACACACATCAGAAGACCCCTGAACGGCCCCAGCGTCCAGGGCGGTTGTGGGTCATCAGAGCCTCACGACGGCCAGCCTTCGCCCCTCCCCAGTGCCCAGGCTGTCCCCACCCAAAGCTCATCATCAGCCCAGCGCTCACCTGAGGGGTGTTCAGGGTTCCCGTCTGACATGGGGGAGCCCTCTCCGGGGTGCCGGTGGTCCAGGTGGGCGCTCTTGTAATGGGCCTGGATGGCGGCGGCCCCACCCTGCTCGGCCTCGCCGCCGGGACACTCTGACTCCCCCTGGGCCGCCTTCCCATTCTTCCGCCTCCGGGGCTGGTACTTGTAGTCCGGGTGGTCCTTTTTGTGCTGCATCCTGAGCCGCTCGGCTTCTTCAATGAAGGGGCGCTTGTCACTCTCGTTCAGCAGCCTGGGGCAGTACAGTTGGGGGAGACAGCAGAGGGGCCAGAGTGAGTATCTACCCTGGAAGAAATGAGGTCCCTGGATGGGGAGCCCAGCGGGCAGGGCCCGGTTCTTTGATTTACAATCTGGAAGATGTGAGGCCCAAGGAACCACAGGCTCAGAAGGCTGTGATCTCTGTCCCTAAACTCTGGAGCTTTGGTGAGAGCGGGATTAGGCTGCTGTTTCTGGCAGCCCCCGATGATGGAGTTAGCAGTAGGAATAGAGCATCTGAGGGACGCAGAGCTTCGCTCAGTTCAAGGAAAGGAAACAACTTTCTCGTCATCAAAGCTGTCCGCCGGTAGAACACTGGCTGCCTCCTTAGGGGGTGAGCTCCCCGGAGCTGGAGGTATGCGAGCCGAGAAGCAGCAGAGTGCGGGGGAAGAGCCCAGTCTCTGCTACTTGCTAGCGTGTGACCGTGGACAAATCACTTCTCTGAGCCTTAGTTTCTTCCTGTCACTTCTCTGAGTCTCAGTTTCTTCCTATCAAATGAGGATGATAAAGCCTACCTCCCTGGGTGTGGGATTGGCCAAGATAGCGTGCGTGAAGCACTCTGCACTGGGCCTGGGGGCGGGGAGGGTGGGCACCTTGAGGAACAGGTGCCGTGCCAGTGCTGGGGGTAGGCCCTCTCAACTCTGGAGTGCTCATTTTGTGAATTCCAGTGTGGTGCGGCTGGAGGGACACGACGTGAGCCCCCTTCCCTCTGTGGGGTCACTGCATCCTGGGGGGAGATCCTATCTCCTTGTCCAGGGGGTGACAGAGGGTAGAGGAAGCTAGACTTTCTCCCCAGACCCTGGGACAGAGGCAAACAGACCCTCTCCCCAGTCTGAGACCAAGCTTGGAGGAAAGCCTTGAAGGCAGCGCCCCCGCCCTCCCAGCTCCAGCCTCGGGGCCCGGGCTGGAGGACGGTGGAGGGGGTGATGTTTAAGGCTCCGATGCCCCAGGGTGAGGAGGGCAGGACAGGGTACCTTGCAGAGGGAGCGGAGGGGAAAGGACGGACTCCTGAGTCCTACACAGGAGGGACTTTGTGGGCGCGGCTCTGTCCCTTTGCCCAAAGGGCCTCTCCAGCTGCCCACCCCCTCCCCAGTGGGTGCTCTCTTCCCCCAGTCAGCAGAAGCCGAGCCCTCCTGCCCAGGATGGGAGGGGGTGGTCATACCAGGCACCTCCTAGCCGGTGGCAGCATTCCTGTGCGGCTTAGCTTCCCCGGCTGCCCCCCTCCCCCCAGGCTGCCGGCACCCAGCCTGGCGTAGCCCAGCTTTCGCCAAGGGTCCCTGCGACTGAGTGACGGGATGGAGATCCCAGGCCAGCGCCCCAGGGGTCAGAGAGTGGGCTGTAGCCCCAGGCCGGGGCCCCTGGGAGGCTGGGCCGGTGGAGTGGGTGGGGCGGGCCCGAAGGGGGTGTGCGTGTTGGGGGCGGGGAGACAGAGGTACTAGAGGGCGCAGAGCAGGCCCAAGACCCCAGCGCGGAGGCTCCGGAAAGGCTGGGGACCCTGAGCTTCCTGTCCCACCCAACTCTTCCTTGTGCCCTCTGTGTAGCTGGCAGCTGGGCGTGACTCAGCAAGAAAATGGCAGGGGGCACGGAGCGGGGGGCACAGGCCAGAGGAGAGGGAAGCTTCCAGTACCGCGCTCACTGTCGCCTCCCATGCCGGGTCCCAGCAGTACCCTCACCTTGACAGAATCCGCACTTTCGGTCCTCTCCACCCCCACGCGGTTGTCGGATGGCTCCAACCCCAACCTCACACTGACCTCAATTCTATTCACTCCCTCCTAACCCCAGGCCCATCATCCGGCCCCACCTTGCAAACCCTCTCAAATCTAATCTTGACCCCAACACCGGCCTCACTGGGCATTGCCCCCCTTCCAGGCCCCAGCGGTGCCCACAGCTCTAACTGCAAACCCGATCCTCATTTGCCACCCGGCCTCTGTCTTCTACGTGTTCAAAGTTTGGAATAGAGGATATGGAGGGTAGACTGGTTCTCCCCCACCCCGGGAAAACTGAAAACCCCGGCCAATGGGTGGGGGGCTCCCAAAGTGGGGCACTCACTGCTGCTCTCCTGTTAGGGAAGGGGCCTGTGGGCTTGGGGGTCAGGAGAGGCTCCAGCCTGTGACCCCCTTTCTAGTCTCCTGACTCTATTCTCTCCAGACAAATCAACCCATATACAACCGTCACCACGCGATTGGTATCTAACAAGCCTTTC